GGATTTTTACCCCCAAAAATTCAAAATATTGAATTTTTTTTTAGAAAAACGCAAAAAAATCCCATTTTTTGAATTTCAAAAAAAAAAAACGGAATATATGTGATAGATCCTGTGCTCTTCTATCCACATACCAATATTTAGATCGATACTCCTTTTTTGGCCAAGTTATAGCGAAAAAACTTCAAAATTGATGACGTCAAATTTTTGAACTCAATTTTTGGCAATTTTGGAGCACGTAGCGCAAAACAAAGGACACCAATGAACTCCCCGTGACGAGATGCATCGAATCGATACCCATTTTATGCAAAAATATCAACTTTGAAATTTGACAATTTGACCTGACCTTGACCTGACCTTCACCAGAACATAATCTTAACTGACCCCAAAGGCTGCATGACCCACATAATCGCATTTGACATATAAAATGGACCAGAAAACATATATCACATGATATTTTCATATAGTGACCCTCAGTGACCTGACCTCTGTGACCTGACCTGGTATCAGTGACCTCAAATAGCAAAATATGTGTTTGACGAACAATACCCCATCGATGATTTTTAATGGAATGCATTTTACTCGATTTTACAACGCATATCTTGAAATGCCTGTAAACGGTGAAATTTCGACATTTGACCCGACCTGTGACGTCATCGGTTTGATCTAGGTCAATGAAATTGGGTCACAAGGTAGTTCCCTGTTGGGGCTATCCAATGCCCTTTACCGCTTGTCGCTATGTTGCGTGGTTCTCGAGATCTTAGGGGGGGGGGGGCAAATTGCCCCCCCCAACAGGGCGCGTTGCTCGACAGACCCCTACGGGGCGCGGGTTAACCTTGGCTCTAGCTTGTCAAAACTGATCAAACTCAAAGTAAATAAACCACATCTTTAACCTTCCAGGCGGGGGGGACATTTTTTGCCCCCCCCCCCCCCTTTAGTTTTTTCGATATATCTCCAGAACCGCTGCGCCGATTGTCACCAGACTTTCAGTTCCCTCCCGTGAATAGCTTTTGCACATTTTGACCAAAAAATATCCAAAGGCTATGATAGGTTGGCCGCTAATGACGTTGGAGTGACGCCATTTCTACCATTTTCGACCCCAAAAAAAGGTTTCACGGGAAGAGCTGTCTGGCCTACAGCTTAAAGGGACTATCCCACCTTTAACATGGGGTTTGAGTTGAGATAGCCAAGTTTGCGGCGAGGTTCAGAAACCACTATCTATCTAGGTTGCAACCCCTGCGGCCTCTTGGTGTTGAAGAAATTCGTTCCCTTCATTTGAAAATGGGCCTTGTACAAGGCCCTATCTTCAACATGGAGCGACCGTTAGTGTGACGTCACCTCGTTTAGTCATTCTGATTTAACCCGCGCCCCACTGGGGTCTGCGTATAACACGCCCTACTGGGGGGGGGGCTATTCATAGCCCCCCTCCTAACTCCGAAACTACTGGGCCGATCGTCAAAATTCAAACGGTGTCTGATAGCCCCGGAAAAACTGTCGAGCGAAACCTAATTTCATTGACCTCGAGGTCACCGATGACGTCACAGGTCAGGTCAAAGTAAAAATTATTAGCATTTTGGCTTCTTCACGTTTTGGGCTCTGGCCGCCGTCCTACAAGTCAGATCAGGCTCATTTTTGGTTCACACACTCGTGAACAGATGCTCTAGATACTCTGAGGGTACCAAACTTGTACTTTGATTTTCAGGTCAAGGTCAGGTCATCACAGGTCACGAAAATATTATATCATCCGTCGGTCACGTGACACATGTTTTATGGTCCATTTAGGCCAAACATTTCGAATTTGATGTCGTCTGTGTCATTCGAGGTCATTTTGAGTCAAATTTAGCTCAGGTCAGGTCACTTTCAGGTCAAAAAAGGTCAAATTTTGAAGTTAAAATTTTTCAACAAAAAAAGTGTCTATTGGATGCAGTTTGAGCTCAGGAACACGATGGTGCTATTTATATTGGCGTACGATGTCAAATTCGTGCTGAAAAATTGATTTGAAAAATTAATAATTGTTAATTTTTTGCAATAATGCGTATAACTTGGCCATTTTTGAAGATATTTAGCTAAAACTTGCTAGAGTTAGTCATAATAGTGCCTTCTATCACATATATTCCGGTTTTTTCGAAAAGTCAAAAAGTTTTTGAAAAAAATGTAAAAATATAAATTTTGAATTTTATTATATAAAATTTTCGAAATTTTCAAAACTTCGAAAATCCGAGATAGCAGTTTGATAGCGCAGTCTATTCTGAGTCCTCTCATGCAAAGAAATTGGATCTAGCTTAAAAACTGAGCTCTTGGGAGCGATTGCCGTGGTTCAATGTTTTGCGTCGAAATCGGCCGAACATGACGTCACTCTGACGTCATTTCAAGCCGACCTATGGTAGGTACGAAGTTCAAATTTTGACACAAGGTGTCAAATTGATGCAGCCGAAGGTACTGAAAGTTTGGCGTCGATACGTCAAGCGGTTTGGAAGTTATTGCAGAAAAACGGGAGGGGGGGCTATAAATAGCCCCCCCCCAGTGGGGCGCGGGTTAAATGGGTTTGTTCGTTGAAAAATTGCTTAAAACTTGGTCTGAACTTTGTTGTGGTGCCTACAGAGTAAAAAGAATCAGCTTTATGACAGTATTGTGGCCTGGGGAAGGAGGTAATTTTGGGCTGTGACGTCACATATTTGAAAGTTTGTGTTTGGAATATGGGAAGCCTGAGATGTTTAATGAAAAATAAATGCCAGAGCCGTGTTCCTGGTCATCCAATCTATAAAGTCGGGCACAATTTAACTGGTTTTAACAACATTTTAGAAGGTGGGATAGTCCCTTTAAGAGACACATAAAAATGTTCTTAATTTCATTTGGTGGTGCAAATATTTTTTTTTCTTTCACGTCCCATCACGGGTTAAATTTGTTCTCTCCTATGTATAAAAAGTCCAGAGATATGTTGCCCAGTTAGTGAGCTACAACGTAGTACGAGGGGCGTTCAAAAAGTTATCGGCCCGACCATGAAGGAGCAGAGATACGACGTCGACTTATTAGACCAAAAATGTTCATTTAGTAAAATAACTAGCGTTAAGACAAAAATATTTCGCGCAGCGCTTCGCGAGAGGCCCCTGGGTCTCCATAGCCAAGTGGGTTTTGGACGCATCTGGCACGTCCAAGACGGCTGCTTTTGTCTCCTTGCTGTCAGCGAAGTTGCCACTGCTAAGCAATTTCCTTATGTTGGGGAAGAGGTGGCAACCTGAGGGTGCAAGGTACGGAGAAAAAAGTGGCTGTGACGACAACTCGAAGCCACAGTTCACTGCTTCGCTGATCGTCACCCTGCTCATGTGTGCTGGTGCTTGGTCCTGGATCAGGCGCACACTTTTAAACAGCTTCCCTAGTCTCTCATTGATATCTGCTGCTCGCTGCTGTTATCAAAGGGAGTTGTAGCATTCATCATTAATTGTGCGCTCCTGTTTTAGAAAGTTGACGAGCAGAGCCCCGCCATCATCTAAAAATGCAACCACTGTCACCTTGCCGTCTGACTTAAACACGTCGCACACATTTGGTGGCCTTTACTCAGTGTGCTTCCACTTGTGCAACTCGGTCACGCCCTGAGGGTCAATGTGTGACACCCACAATCCCTCCACGGTAACAAGTAGTTCAATGAACTCTTTTGGATCTTCGATATAGGGGCCAAAATTTTCGCGTTACGCCTCCTTTCGAGTTTGCCTTTCCTCTGGAGTCAGCAAACGGGGGATGCATCTTGCAGAGATCTTAAACATATAATATGCTGTCGAAGAATGGCTTTGAGGAACCTGATAGACAACTCCGCTTCTGCTGCGTTGTTTCAGATCAGAACATTTGTTATTTTTCACAAAGAAGTGCTTATTTTTCATATTTTCTTGAGTCAATGCTGTTGATGGCTGGCCACTGCGGGGGTGACCATTAATGATCTGTTGACCAAAATTGAACAGAGATGCCCACTTTTTGACGCTACTGTAAGAAAGACAAACCTCAACATGTGTTGGCACTAGCTTTTCGTGAATAACGTTTGGCGCATTTTTCTGCAATACATGAACCAAATCACTGTTCTCTTCTGGGCATCGCCCATTCTGACCGGGAATAGCAAACTATGTTACGATTAATTAGCAGCCTGAACCAATCACAGGGCAGATTGGTTAATGGCTACGTAAGTGGACATCCAAATAACATATCATTGAACACACCGCGTTGCAGGCCGAAATTCCAACTCCTTCATGGTTGGGCCGAGAACTTTTTGAACGCCCCTCGTATACCGACATTTTTATGTAAACTGCGTATTTTTTCATACCGTGCAAGTTTCCACGAAAATCCGTGCTAACACTGACCAATATTTTTTCTTCTTCCATTGCCAGATCCTAGGTCCGAATTTTATCCGCCGTGGATAAAAAATGCACAACGATGTTGCTCAGATGGTGATCTGCAGCGTAGTTTAGCGACATTTTTATGTAACTTCCCTATTTTTTCATACCGTGCTCATTTCCACGAAAATATGTGCTTATGCTGACTAACATTTTTTTCTTCCATGGCCAGATCCCAGGTCCAATTTTTATCCGTTTTGGATAAAAATACATAGATATATTGCTCAGATAGTGAACTACAGCATAGTATAGCGACATTTTTATGTAACTTCCGTATTTTCTCACACGGTGCCCATTTCCACGAAAATCCGTGCTTACACTGATCAACATTTTTTTCTTCCATGGCCAGATGTCAAGTCCAATTTTTATCCGCCATGGATAAAAATACATAAGTATGTTGCTCAGATGGTGAACTATACCGTCGTACAGCGACATTTTCACGTAAATTGCCTATTTTTTCATACTGCGCTATAACCCACCAAAATCCGTGCTCTGGCACTGACCTTAGTTGAGTTAGTTCTATGGCGTTGCCGATAGGCGGCGCTGGCGTTGCGTCCTATCTCCGCTGGTGTTTGATGTCATTTTGCAAAATGTCTGGGGAAATAATTTAAGGCAGTTTGCAAAATGTCTGGTGGGTCAGTGCCTAGGCATTTTGCAAGATGCCTGGTCGGTCAGGCATTTTCCAAATTGCCCAGGTGTTTTGCCAAATGCCCTACTTTTCACTTTGCCTGCAACATATGTATTCACGATCATGAGCGATCCACAACATGGCGTGGCGATGTAGGCTACTCCTCAGGTCATGCCCTGTTTGATTCCAGGAATTCCTCGGAAGCCGGTATTGAACGCAGTCCAGTGGTCGAACAGCAGTGCGGCGGCCACTGCGCCGCCCCCGCCTCAGGTCAGCAGCGTTTGCCCGGGGGAGGAGCCGGACGCCGCCACTGACGTGAGCCCACCGTGCACAGAGGAGTCGGCCGCCGATCCGGCCACCTGCTCCATCGTGGCCGGCCGCCAGACCACCATTGAGATCAACAGGGAGCAGATGGGTCTGGGACTGAGTGTCGTCGGTGGCTCGGACACACTGCTGGTAGGTGGACATTTCAGCCCCCCTCCAAAGTCATATTGCAGCATGGGCATGACTTTTCCTACTAGCCCATAGTGTTGCGCAGGCCCATGTCGTCCCCTATCTCCCTGTGTGTCCAAGTGCACAGATGACGTCACATGAAGGTGCGGAGTCAGGGGCGGAGCCTGGCGCAACGGCCGCCATATTTGAATTTGTTTTATTAGAATGTATTCTATATTTTGGGTTTCAGTCAATTGTTATCGATAGTTTTATGAACGGTTAGCTGTAATATCAGTGATTTATCAAGAAAAAAAGCATATTCTGCTTGCAATTTCGATTTAAGTAAGACCCGCGCCTAGATTCGAACGCACGATCTTTGGATTACGGCGCAAGCATCCTAACCACTACACTACCGCGGCGGCGTGGCAGCCGGCGGAAGGGAGGCTGCGGAGGCATGGGGACTTTTTTACGCATTTTTGGAAAAACTAATGGGTTTAGTGAAAAACGCTTCTTAGATAATTCGAAGAAAATTGTCTCGACTTTCCGATGATGCACTTAGTTCTGTGCTAGCTCTAGCAGAGTTTGTTCTACAGCGCTTCAAAAATCGCCCATTTGCATAGGACTTAAACGGGACTTCAAGACTTGCCCCCAGATGACGTCACGAGCTGACGTCACGATCAGGTAGAATCGCCGGACGACCCTACCTGGTATATAGGGCCTTGGTGTTGCGTGTTAAAATGCGACTTTTCGCACTCGGTTTTCAAGGTCTCGTACTCACTGTTCTTTATATGTAGGTAGCATTATACCTATATGAAATGCAAAATTGCTCAGATATCCAGCCGTCATTTGTATTTTAATCAGCGCCGGGCCGGTACTCCGCGACTTCCGCGCCAGGCCGGGGGTGTCTGAACCCACCCCCGCCTAAATCAGTTCCTGGGCCGAGTAGCGACTCATAGTAAGCGTCATTCGAAACAGCATAAGAAATAATGAAGAAAACACATCAGTCATTTTTAGGTAAGGTCAAAGGTCAGGTCGCCAGAGGTCATCAAAGGTCAAATTTTGTCACATCAAAGGTCAAACGAAAGAGCAAAAAGTAAACCATATATTCTGAAGGTCATCTCAGTGCAGTCTGCATCCAGCTGTTCACGCCTGCCTCGTGCATAATCGCAAATCATAATCATGCGATCATCACCGTATAGCGAGTCAGCCCAGCACGGCTCCTCTTGTCTTCTATTCGTCTTCTGTGTCTTCGTCTTCACTATCACTGCTTCCCAGGGTAACGACGACGCGCTCCAGCTCTTCGGCCACGTTCTCGTGCTGCCAGTAGCGCTCTTCGAGCACTTCCACGTGCCCATGCCGAGGGTGGGATGTGGGCCACCGCCTCTTCCACAAGCAGCTTGATGGCTCCCATGCTTCCGCTTCTGTTGCGTTGTCTCACATACGTTTTCAGTTGAGCCCATATCATTTCGATCGGGTTCAGGTCGCAACTGTAGGGTGCCAGCCTGACCACTGTGTGTCCTTTTTCTTGTGCCAGTTCATCCACATACAGGGTGACACAAAAAAAAGCGGTCATCACCAAAATTCCAATAACTTCGGAAGTTTTATTCAGATCATCACCAAACTTCGGCCACTTTAGGTCACACCTATGTAGCAGACATCCACCAAGTTTCAAGTCTTCACTACGAATACTTTTAGAACCCGCGCACCGACGGGGGTCTGCGCCAACTTCGCACCGACGGGGGGGGGGGCGGATGACCGCCCCCCTGAGATCTCGAGAACGAAGCAAGATAGCGACAAGCGGTAAACGGCATCGGATACGCACGGCCAAGATCTACAATTTTTACTGAGGTCATTTTCAGGTCAGGTCAAAGATGACGTCACAGGGGTCGAAAAAGTCAAAATGGCGGCGCTAGATATGGAGAGAGTTTTTCTCGAATTACTTTCGAATTAGTCAAGATAGGAACAAACTAAGGGCATCATCGTGATCCTCTCGTTAATCCGCATCGAATGATATATATGTTGACCTCGAAAGGTCAAGGTCAAAGGTTGACCTCAGGTCACGTGACCTCGAGGTCATCATGTATATCATTCGATGCGTCTTGACGAGCTGAACACAATGAGACCATCCACGCGTCTGTATCTTGTTCCTGTACGGAGTTATTGGCCAAAAACCTTTGGTGACCTTTGATGACGTCACATGACCTCACAGCTGCCCAACAGCAAAACAGACCTCAAGGTAGTGAAGGTTGATCGTATATGAAGTCATGTAAAGTATATGGGGCCATTCCGACCCGTTTTAGTGGTAAAAACAGGGAGTTGATTTTTCCCCCATTGACTTATAATGGGGAGGTCGCGAAATTGACCTGACCTTAGGTCACCGATGTCAAAATTCCGAGATATACAAATTGTAGCTACTAATGACCTAATAATATCCTGCGACTTTCAAAGGCCTCCGACATCTACTGTAGTTGTGGCACAGTGACAAAGTTGCAAAAAAGTGACTTGAGGTTGGGTCATTCAAAGTGACCTGGTGACCTGACCTTAAAAGGTAGGAAGTTCAAACTTGCACACCATGTGTAAAATTGATGAGGTTATAGTCATACCAAATTTCGCGGCGCTACGCGCCGCGGTTTTCCCGCTATTCGCGAAAAACCTCAGGGGGGGGCGGATATCCGCCCCCCCGTCGGTGCGCGGGTTAGTACAGTGTGTGTTTTACGGACGCTCCACAATGTGCTCCAGGTGAGCGCCCCGGCGCTGCAGGGCGTAGGCACACCTGCATCCGGCGGGCAAAGTTGCCGATAACCCGATAAGAATAACGTTTCAGGGGTACCACACCCCCTGAGCACTGTCTCCAGAGGCCATTGCACTCTGTAAAGTGCACAGCCATCGGGTTATCGACAACTTTGCCCGCCGGATGCAAGTGTGCCTACGCCCTGCAGCGCCGTGGCGCTCACCTGGAGCACATTGTGGAGCGTCCGTAAAACACACACTGTACTAAAAGTATTCGTAGTGAAGACTTGAAACTTGGTGGATGTATGCTACATAGGTGTGACCTTAAGTGGCCGAAGTTTGGTGATGATTTGAATAAAACTTCCGAAGTTATTCGAAATTTGGTGATGACCGTTTTTTTTTTTTTGTGTCACCCTGTAGTACGTTTTTGGGGGAGCGTGCTTATGAACCAGCTCCAGAAGCTCCACTTTGAGCATGTCGTCGGCATATGAAATTGTCAGTGTCTCTCACTATCCCAGCCGTGGGTTCGGCTTCGCCCGGCTCGTACCACACGCCTCGGACGCGGCTATCCAACTGTATTCCGCCTCGCGCCGGACCGGCGGCGACCGGCCGACCGGTCAGTCAGACACGCAGAGGCGCGCTCAGCACCACAGACACCACAGAAGGGCAGAGGCGCGCCCAGCGCCACAAAACGGGGGGACACAACACTGAGCAGGAATAGCCATTCCTGACATTTCCCCCTCCCGTGCACCCTCGCGACCGCAAATGCGCCACAGACACTTATGACTAATACACATCACGGCTAACGACAGGTTTCAAGTACATCACATGTGTTCGCCGCGTCCTTCCCGTTCGCGGATCTAAACAGTCAACATGACGCCTTCCTATCAAGTCCACCACAACGTGCACAGGTGACCATGGGTTGCACATTTTACGGGGAATGCCCTTACGCTCATCAAAGTTCCGTATCCGGACTTGGTCACCTGGTTGATACGTGGGCTCCCTTACCCTATGCCTCAAATCATACGCCCGCTTCTGGGCACGTTGGCTGTCACGTAAGGTTTCATGGGCCGCTCTGAGCGTGCCAGCCACCATACGCATTTTCTCGTGAATGTAATCCTCCGAATATTTGGGAACATGCGCAGAGATAAGCTGAGAAACAGGAGAATTCACATGTCGCATAAAATACAAGAAATATGGGGAAAATCCATGAGACGACGACACTTCATTATTCAAAGAAAAAACCACAGCTGGTAAATGTGCTTCCCAGTCAGAACCATAAGTTGCCGATAAAGTTCGAACCCTACGCTTTATATCTCTGTGACGCCTTTCCAATTTCCCGATAGCCTCGTGGTGCGACCCAGTAGCGTGTCTCCTACCTACACCCCAAAACCTGCACAATTCTGCCACCTTCTCGCTTTTCATATTCGCACCAGCATCCGTTTCGATACGCTGGGGAGGACCGAATGTCAAAAAATGAGTGGACAGAGCATCCGTAATGTCATCGGCAGTTCCGGATCCTAATGGGTAATACGTAAGAAAGCCAGTAAACTTATCGATGCACGTCAAAACTAGTGTCTTGCCTGACAGGCGACTCTGAGGCATATGGACCACGTCTATCACCAGCACTTCACCCGGACTGGTCGGATCCTGCGGTAACAGAGGAGGGCGCGGTGGTCCCCTGTCGTCCTTTTTCGCACCGCAAAGCGCGCAGCTCGCTACATAATTTTGACAATCCCTTCTCAGGCCGAGGTACCAGATGTTTCTCGTCAAAATTTCATATAACTTATCGGCTCCGCAGTGCGCCCCGGTAGAAGTATCATGATGCCGATACAGTATTTCGAAGCGTTTAGAAGTCGGCCAAACAATCTGAAAAGAGCCCTCAGAGGCCTTGCGGTATAAAATGCCATGCAACAATGCAAAATTGCCTATCTTTTCCCGCTTCAGAGCAGGAGGACAGTACTGTGGCCATTTCCCTGTTCTTAACCGAAAAACCAAAGCCCGGCAGTGTTTGTCATGCTTCTGATGCCATATCAGAGCAGCCGGCTCAATGTTGCAGTCGATAAGACAATCTGCAGTTACTGCATTCACCGTAACGCTCTGATCGGCTCTGTGACTGCCATGGTCGGCCTCTGCCACCGAGTCGCCCGCGGTTACGTCATGGGAACCGGGAACCGTCCCATCCGAGGCTTGCTCGATTCCGTGACTGCCACGGTCGGCCTCTGCGACCGAGGCGCCCGCGGTTACGTCATGGGAACCGGGAACCGTCCCATCCGAGGCTTGCTCGATTCCGT